CGGGCGGCGACGAGGCGGCGACGGGGCGGCGGCGGCGGCCACATAGCCGCTAGACCGAACACATGGCCCAGACGACCGGCGGCGACGAGGCGAGGACAGGGAGGCGACGACGGCCACATAGTCGCCAGACCGATTAAACGGCCGAGTTTGCTCGAAGAGAAATAAAAATCCCTACGTGTAAGCACCGTTTGGGGAATAACTCTTCCTTGTCGCACCACCGGACGTGTCCGTAGGCCAAGCCGAGCGTTTCGCCTGAGACATCCGCGCCAATTATGCTTGTGAAACTTGAAATTTGGAGCAATTTCGGAGATGGACCCAAGTGGATTTCAAAACGTGGCACCGCGCACGCCCGTCCCAAAAAAAAGCCTACGACCATGTTACGAAGGCCTGCTAGATTTCAAAATGTGGCTGTCGCCTCAGCGCCGCGCACACTCGTCCTAAAAACTTGCACCCCTGTCAAGGATGGAGGCCGGCTCTCTTTCAAACTGTGGTTCTCGCCGTAGTGCCGCGCAAATCCACACGATCGAACCAACCTTTACCAACCCATGCAACACATGCGATCCGGAGTAAATCTACCCGCCCAATCCTCACCATCCTGACGTATGCAAAAATTCAGCTCAGCCAACATCCATACGTCCTTAAACTCACCATCCGATGTGTAAGTTGCTATGCGGCGTACATCCAAACGGCATGCGGCCAAACCCTGACTATTCCAATCGACAACACAACTGGTGCACATCGGCATCCATACGTCCCAATGTGCATCATCCAAAACACACGAGTTTGTGCACGTCCATCCGAGCCAGCCGAAACAATTCGACGCAACCTATAACCCAGTGCACATCCATCCGACCCAACCCTCACCACCCGATGTGGACAATTAGCAAGGCGAAGGACCCATCCATATGCAGTTGTGAATTCCGCAGCTCTGGGTATCGTCTTCGGTGGAGCTTCCTATGGGCCACGAAACGCTGTCCTGGGTGGGGGAACCGCATGCGAACTTTGCCACTGGGGCCTTCGGTGGAGCTCCCTGTGGGGCCGCGAAGCGCTGCACTGGGCGGGGAGACGCATGTGGACTTTTTTACCTAACAGCGAAGACTGATAGGCTTTTAGTAGGGTCAAAAGAAAGCATCATGACGCCCCAGGGGGGTCTGGGCGGGATCCGGGGGAATGCCGGGGACTCTTTTTTTAGCCAACAGTTACACACTTCGTGGTCTTCGAGGTCCCAGAACTCCATTCCCGGGCCACATTCTGAATGCCCGGAGCCAACTGTAGGCCACTTCGTGCTCTTCGAGTTCCCAGAACTCCATTCCCGGGCCACATTTTGAATGCCCGGAGCCAACTGTAGGCCACTTCGTGGTCTTCGAGTTCCCAGAACTCCATTCCCGGGCCACATTTTGAATGCCCGGAGCCAACTGTAGGCCACTTCGTGGTCTTCGAGTTCCCAGAACTCCATTCCTGGGCATGATTTTGAATGCCCGGAGCCAACTGTAAGCCACTTCGTGTTCTTCGAGTTCCGAGAACTCCACTCCGGGCCTGACAGGCTTTGCTGAGGCAGGCTGAGGCTGAGGCTGAGGCAGGCTGAGGCTGCTGAGGCTGAGGCAGGCTGAGGCTGAGGCTGAGGCAGGCTGAGGCTGAGGCAGGCTGAGGCTGAGGCTGAGGCGAGGCTGAAGGCAGAGGCTGAGGCTGAGGCTGAAGCAGGCTGAGGCTGAGGCTGAGGCAGGCTGAGGCTGAGGCTGAGGCTGAGGCAGGCTGAGGCTGAGGCTGAGGCAGGCTGAGGCTGAGGCTGAGGCTGAGGCTGAGGCAGGCTGAGGCTGAGGCTGAGGCTGAGGCTGAGGCAGGCTGAGGCTGAGGCTGAGGCTGAGGCTGAGGCTGAGGCTGAGGAGGCTGAGGCTGAGGCTGAGGCTGAGGCTGAGGCTGAGGCTGAGGCTGAGGCTGAGGCTGAGGCAGGCTGAGGCTGAGGCCGAGGCTGAGGCAGACTGAGGCTGAGGCTGAAGCAGGCTGAGGCTGAGGCTGAGGCAGGCTGAGGCTGAGGCTGAGGCAGGCTGATGCTGAGGCAGGCTGAGGCTGAGGCTGAGGCTGATGCAGGCTGAGGCTGAGGCAGGCTGAGGCTGAGGCCGAGGCTGAAGGCAGACTGAGGCTGAGGCTGGCTGAGGCTGAGGCTGCAGGCTGAGGCTGAGCAGGCTGAGGCTGAGGCTGAGGCTGAGGCTGAGGCTGAGGCTGAGGCAGGCTGAGGCTGAGGCTGAGGCTGAGGCTGAGGCTGAGGCTGAGGCTGAGGCTGAGGCTGAGGCTGATGCAGGCTGAGGCTGAGGCAGGCTGAGGCTGAGGCCGAGGCCGAGGCAGACTGAGGCTGAGGCTGATGCAGGCTGAGGCTGCAGGCAGGCTGAGGCCGAGGCTGAGGCAGACTGAGGCTGAGGCTGAAGCAGGCTGAGGCTGAGGCTGAGGCAGGCTGAGGCTGAGGCTGAGGCAGGCTGATGCTGAGGCAGGCTGAGGCTGAGGCTGAGGCTGATGCAGGCTGAGGCTGAGGCAGGCTGAGGCTGAGGCCGAGGCTGAAGGCAGACTGAGGCTGAGGCTGAAGCAGGCTGAGGCTGAGGCTGAGGCTGAGGCTGAGGCTGATGCAGGCTGAGGCTGAGGCAGGCTGAGGCTGAAGCTGTGACTGCGACTGCCGTTGCCACTGCGACTGTTATCGCGAATGCGACTACGACTGCGAGAACATCAGTATTCTATAACTGGATTCTCATATGAATCTTAAAGGGAATGCTTCCAGATATGCTCCTACGCATCGCTGTTAGGTTGCTTTGCCGGGATAATCGCTGAGGCCTTCGGTGAGGGCCAAAAAACGCTGTACTCGGTGGGGGGACGCATGTGGGACCTTCCGTGCAACTCCATCTACGGCCACGCAACGGTGTACTGGCTGGGGGAGACGAGTGCGAACGTTGTCACTGGGGCATTCGGTAGAGCTCCCTATGGGGCAAGGAAGCGCCGTACAGGATGGGGGAGACGCATGTGGACGGCGTAATTGACGCCTTCGGTGGAGCTCCCCATGGGGCCACGAAGCGCGGGGAAACGCATGCGGGCGGTGCCACTGGAGACCTCGGTGGAGCTCCGATGGGCCACGAAACACTCTACTCGGTGGGGGAAACGCATACGAACTGTGCCACTAGGGCCTTCGGTGGACTTCCCTATGGGGCCACGAAGCGCCGTACTGGGTGGCGGAAACGGATGCGGAAAGTGCCGTTGGGGCCTTCGGTTGGGTCCCCCTATGGAGCCACAAAGCGCTGTACTGGGCGGGGGAGACGCATGCGTGCGGACCGTGCCACTGGGGCATTCGGTAGAGCTCCCTATGCGGCCACGAAGCGTTTTACTGTGTTGAAGGGGTGCGCATGCGGGCGGTAGCGCTCTGGGGCCGTCGGTGGAGCCCCCCATGGGGCCACGAAGCGCTGTACTGGGTGGGGGGGGGCGCATGCGTGCGGTAGCTCGGGGACCTTCGGTGAAGCTCCCTCTGGGGCCACGAAGCGCTGTAGTGGGTGAGGAGAACGCATGCGGGCGGTAGCCTTTGGATACATAGGGCCACGAAGAGTGTGAGGGGTGTGCCGACATGGTAGACTGATGCGGAAAGCAAAGACAAGGATGGGAGGAGGGATGGGTGGGGGAAAGGGAGAAGGAGGAGGAGGAGGAGGAAGAAAAGGAGGACGAGGAGGAGGAGGAGGAGGAGGAGGAGGAGGAGGAGGAGGAGGAGGAGGGAGGAAGAGCGCGGCGCGCATTTTTTTTGTTCAAAACGAGGACCCGACACCACAGGGCGGCTGGGAAAAACAACATCCAGTGCGCATGGGATGCTCTTCAACATCGGCCCACCTCCCCGAAAGGGCCCCATGGGCACGACATGCACACACCAAGCAAGGAGCCGCCAGCAGAGCACCACGCATCGATACGCTGCGGGCGCCCCTCGCCGACTCCGATATTTGGGACCTAAGCGCCCCCGGGCTGCCCCGGGCGCTCGCTGACGCTCCAAGACGCTCTCCTCCTCCTCCTCCATCCATCCTCCTCCTCCTCCTCCTCCTCCTCCTCCTCCTCCTCCTCCTCCTCCTTCCTCCTCCTCCTCCTCCTCCCCCTCCTCCCCCTCCTCCTGGCGCTCCCAGGCGCTCCGAGGCGCTACAATCTCCCCGAAGCGCTCCCAGTCTGGCCCTCGCCAGCAGCAGCAGCAGCGTCCACATCCTCATCTTCATCGCCCTTCGTCGCCGCAACATGCCCTCTCCCCGAAGCGCTCCTAGTCTGGCCGTCGCCACCAACAGCAACAACGTCCACATCCTCATCTTCATCGCCCTCGTCGCCGCAAAATGCCCCCCACCGCGTTGCCAACGGTTTTCGCAGTGGGGCTCGCACGCCCCCACTGTGTTTGGGAAACCCCTTGGCCCCGTGCACATTCAAGAGCAATGTCCACCGTCTCCACTCACTTGACCCTTCCTCGACCTCTGCGACCCAGCGCTCCTCATTGTGAGGCCGGCTTCTTTTCTCGAGACCGGGCTCTCGCGTGAGACTTCCGCGACGCATACGTCCACAAAATTGACATCCTGAATCGCTTGGACGGATGGAGGGCGCGTTCTTCTCGAACCCCCTGGGCCTCCTTGAAGGGCTCTCGCGTAAGGCTTGCGCGGGGCAAACGTCCACGTCTTGGACATCTTGCACTGATTAGTCGGATGGAGGGCGCGTGCTTCTCAGAATGGGGCTACCCTGGGCGTCCTTCAACTGAAGGGACGACTCTTTACAGCAGTCGCCCTCGTCTGACTGGCGCACCGACACCGACTGGCCGCTCGTCATTCAAGGGGGAGCACCGGCAGAGGAAAGGAAGATCTGCATGGACCTGTGAGGAGGGGACTCGGGACGCGAGGGTGCTTTGCGGCATCGGCTCCACGCATCCTGGCTCTGCTCTGGTCCTCCTCCTCCTCGTGCAGACTGGGCGCCCGCCCCCGCGCCGCCACTGGCCGGCTTCCCGCGCGCGCCTCACCCAGGCGGAAGAGCTCGCGGCCCCGGGCGGTCGCCTGAGCGCCCAGCCCACGGCCCCCCGATCGTCGCCGTCGCCGCCGATCCTCCTTGATCCTCGATCGTCGACCGGAGGAGGGAGGAGGAGGGAGGAGGAGGGAGGAGGAGGAGGGAGGAGGGAGGAGGGAGGAGGGAGGAGGAGGGAAGAGGGAGGAGGAGGAGGAGGAGGGAGGAGGGAGGAGGAGGAGGGAGGAGGGAGAAGGAGTGATCATCCCCCTCGATCCCCGATCCTCCGGGGTCCTCGACCCTCGGCCACCGAGGAGGGGAGCTGCTTTTCGGAGTGCTCTTCGGCCTCCTCCTGGGGGCGCCCTCGTGGCCACGGCGGGGCTCCCCCCCTCGAGGCCATGGCCGGAGCGCGCCGCCTGTGGCGAACGAACAACACACACCCATACCCATAGGGAGGTCGGAGGGAGAAGGACTGGCCCTGGGTATGGGTGCGGGTTGTCGGACCCCTGGGGAGGCTCCCGTTCGAGCGGGGACCCCTATCCGGCAACACGCACCCACAGTTCATTCCGTCCCCCCTATAGCCTATGGGTATGGGTGCGTGTCGATCGTTCGTCACCTGGACCCCCCGCGGCGCGAGGTTTCCCCGCCGCTGCGGCGCCGCTGCGCCGCCTCCGCGCGCGCAGAGGCCCCCGAGCGCCGCTGCCCAGGCCGAGCAGCGAGGCGCCGCCCCCCCCGCGCGGCGGGGAGCGCGGCCCGCCGCCCGGCCCCACGGCCGCTCCTCCGCGCGAGGGGGCAGAGCGGGGCCCCCGCCGGTGCGCACCTCCCCGTCGCAGAGCGAGAACGCCACCGATTCGTCGCGCGCGGAGCGGGGCCCCCGCTCCGCGGCGCCTGGCCCTTCGAGGAGCTCTGCGCGGGGGCAGAGGCGAGGAGGAAGCCCCCCCCCCCCCCCTTGGGCGCAAGCGGAGCAGGCGCGGGGACCCCGTCGGCGCGAGCGCGTGCTCGAGCATCCGCCCCCCCGCAGATCCTGATAAACGGGGTGAGATGCGAGCGCGCGTTTCCTGGCAAGTCCCTCCTCCGCCTCCTTCTCCTCCTCCTCCTCCTCCTCCTCTCCTCCTCCTCCTCCTCCTCCTCCTCCTCCTCCTCATCAGCATCAGCATCAGCATCAACATCATAATCATCTCCTCTTCCTCCTTCGTCCCCCAACTCAAAATCCGACTCCCGGACAGTCCTGGGATGAATTCCGCACAGGATTCCGTAAGGAACCCCACCGCAGCGACGAGAATGCTCAATCGGGCCTCCAATACAACTCTCTCTCTCTCTTTCTCTCTCTCTCTCTCTGTCTCTCTCTCTCTCTCTCTATATATATATATATACATACATATAGCCGAAAGACCCAACCATATGCAGTTGTGAGTACCGCAATTGTGAATATCTTCTTTGGTGGGGCTACCTACCTATGGGTTCACGAAGCGCTGCACTGGGTGTGGGAGACGCATGCGGGCGGTAGCACTGCGGCCGTCGGTGGAGCTCCGTATCGGTCCACGAAGCGCTGTTCTGGGTGGGGGGGGACGTGTGCGGGCGATAACACTGGGGCCTTCGGTGGAGCTCCCTATGGGGCCACGAAACACTGTACTGGGAAGGGGGGGCGCATGCGGGCGGTAGCACTGGGACCTTCGGTGGAGCTCCCTATGGAGCCACGGAGCGCTGCATTGGGTGGGGGGGACGCATGCGGGCGGAAGCGCTGGGGCCGCCAGTGGAGCCTTCGGTGGAGCTCCCTATGGGGCTACGAAGCGCTGTGCTGGGAGGGTGAGACGCCTGCGGGCGGTAGCACTGGAGCCGTCGATGGAGCTCCCTATGGGGCCACGAAGCGCTGTATTGGGTGCGGGGGGACGGGCGGCAGCACTGGGACCTTCGGTGGAGCTCCCTATGGGGCCACGAAGCGCTGTGTGGGGGGGACGCATGCGGGCGGTAGCACTGGGACCTTCGGTGGAGCTCCCTTTGGGGCCACGAAACGTGTGAGTGGTGTGCTGAAGCGGGTGATGACACTGTCGATGGAGGAGGGAGGGACAGGGCAGCGGGAGGAGGAAGAGTGAACGCGGGGACCGTCTCTTCAAAACGAGGACCCAACACCACAGGATGGTTGGGAGCAAACAGCCCTCGCAGACCTCGGATTTCAATCCGCCCTCTGGGGTGGCTGACCGTTGCGCCTGCGCCGCCGCTGCTGCTGCGCCGCCGCTGCGCCGCCTCTGCCGCTGCCGCTGCCGCTGCCGCTGCGCCGCCGCTCTGCGCGCCTGGCTCTCCCACCACCGCAGTTCGTCGCGGGCGGCGCACAGCTCGGCGGCGCCCTGCTGCGCCTCCTCGCGGCCCTCCTCGAGCGCACGCTCGGCGGCTTGCAGGCGCTCCTCGGCGCTCGTCGGGACGGCGACCAGCGCTGCCCGTCGCCGCCGCCGCCGCCGCCGCCGCCGTCGCCACCCCTGCCCCCTGACGCCGTCCAAGGATGTCTGGAAGTCTCCGGAGGTCTTTCGAGGCCTCCAGTGGGCCCCCCGGAAACCCGACGGAGCCGACACATCAAAAGTGTCGATCCTCGATCGTCGTCGCGATTTTTGTCTGAAGGTGGCGACAAACACCGTCCGTCGTCGACGACGCCGCCGTCAAGACCCGCCCAAAACCAGTGCCAAGATCCTCGCGGGTCGATCGTGGCGAGTCGTGAGAGCCGCGCGCAACCTTGTCCTCGGAATCGAAGACGTCGTCGTCGGCGGCGTCGTCGTCGCTGTCGTCGTCGTGGTAGTGGTCGTCGTAGAGTTCCTGTTCGCCCCGCGTGTGTTCGGGAGGCATTCACCCCGCCGCTGGCAGCCCCACTTTTGAGAAATAGCATCCTTTTCGTCATATTCACTGGAATTTTCAAGCTCCCTGGAGACCCACAAAGTTCCGAACATCTCTCAGATCCGACCCTCCGCTTCCACTTGGGGGAGGAGGGGAGAGCGGGAATGAACAGCAAATGCAAAGAAGGCGCAGAACAAGGAGAAACATAACATAGACGATCGAACAAACGGGCAAAGAAGAGAGGAAAGGAAAAGGGGACGAGATAGCGGACGAGGCTGGGAAAGACGTGGAAGGGCCCCGCTGGCGGTCCTCCTCTTGCCCACGCGGCCACTGCATATCTTCCCCCCCGAAAAAACCGGGATCCGGGGTTTCCGGTTCACCCAAACACCCTTGCCAAAGGTCCCCTGGCTCGTCCCACACCTCCCAGGGCGCTTAGACGGTGACCAGAGAGGCCGAGGACATACCCAAGACAGCGCAAGAGCGCTCCCAAAAAGACCCAAATAGCCTCCAGAGGCCCCCCAGGAGGCCCTCAAAAGGACTCCCAGAACCCAAGGCGGCCGAAGAGACCCCAGCGAGAGCCTGTGGACGGCCTGGATGGCCCCAAGACTGCCCAGAGAAGCCTCTGGTTCGCCAAACAGAATCCCAACAGGCCCTCACAAGGCCCCTGAGAGAAGTCCAATAAGGCCATATGGGAGGCCCCCAAAAAGGCCACGGGAGGCCACCAGGAGAGCAAAGGTCCCCAGAGGGCCTAAGCTCCCCAACGCGGCCCAAAGATGGCCCCGAGACGGCTCGAAAAGGCCCCGAGCCGGCCCGCAAGGGCTCCAACGAGGCCCACGCGGCGTTTTCCACAAAACTGACCCGACCCCCAGGTTCGAAACCACATTTCCAAGAAATCTGTCGCGAACCCGGGATTCGGTGCATCTCCCAAGAATTACTTACGTTTGCGTGCCCCGGTGCGACCCGCTGCAACGTGACACCCTCGGCTTGGCATTGCTTTGTACTTTGCGGCCTCGAGTGCTTGACATTGCGTCGGTTTGCTTGGCGTTCATTTGCGTGGCTTGCTATTCCCGCTCATTGCGCGAATGTGCCAATGCGGGCCAATGCGCGAGCCTACGAATGCCTGTCGTTGTCATTCATTGCAAGACATGTATTCAAGCGTGTACGTACACGTGGAATCGTAGCCGCTGGCTTACGTCTTTCGGCGCCCGCACGAGCCACCATCATGTCTGCATTCCGTTGCTCTGATTGTGGCCAAACCCTGCCTGCAGATGCAATTTCCAAAACATGACTGCAGCAGTCCACTCGGGCTAAAATGTCCTGCGCCAGTCATCGGGAGGCACAATCGCGGTCGGCTCTCGAACAAGATCTCCTGCAATGCGCCCGTCGCGAAGAGCCCCGCGAACGAATCCAAATCAACCGCGGCCAGCTGCGCCGCCCCACTCGGGCCTGCAAGTCCCGCGCCACTCGGCGGGTGAGCGGCCGCCGCAAGCAAGACTTCCTGCGAGCGCTGCGGAGAGCTCCGAGAGACAAGACCCACTTCGGCGCCGGGCACATCAAAACGCGCAACGCTACGCGGGCATGCTGAGCGCGCCCCACGCCCAGTGGAAACTGCTCCCGAGGCTGCCGATCCCTATCGCTAGGGCCCCAGGACTGCATCTGTAGCCACTGCGGCGTCGCCCGGTTCCCCGTGGCACGCGCGGTACTATGTCGTCAGTTCGGCAAGCGCGCGATCGACTTCACCAGATATTTTTCGGGGCCCCGGCCAGCCCGTCTCCCACTCTACCGACGCGAAGGTTTCAACGCTCATGCCCTGGCATGCAACAACCTTCTCGGACTCGCCGCGCACGACATACAGTCTAATATTCCGGAGCGGGAACACACACTTCTCCCCGCAAACGCCGTCCTTCATGAGAATCCACGGGACGATGTGCCAGAAAACGTGGGCCGCCGAAGGATCCAACCCGCATCAGTGCACGTCGTTGACCCGCAGCTCAAGTCGCACGCGGCTGCCCATTTGCAGCTCAATCCACACTGTCCGCGCCCTGGAACGCCACGTCCTCCACGCGAACCCGTGCGCGACGGCCGCGCACAAGCTCGCCCCCCCCCCCCCCCCCCCCCCGTCGCGCTGCCATCAATACTGCAGCTCGAGAGGGACGAAGGCACGCAGGAAGTTGCTGCTCGACTCCGCTGGCGGCGCTCGCACGTCTCCCCGACCAGTGTTCCTCCGTCCTCATAAATTCGAGCCAAGCGATTCAATCCCTCCACGAAGTGAGCTTCTACGAGCCAGTTTCCTACCTTCTTCGGGGCTGACTTCCCAAGGCCACTAGGGATGGCAGGAACGACCGCAATATACAAAGCCTCACGGACCAAGGTGCATGGCGCGAATCGCCAATGCGGTCTTGTGTGTATATATATGTATAAAGATATATGGCAAGCCGCACCACTGTGATGCATATATGGTTGTGTGTTGCCATCTGTTGTTTGTTTGATGATATCTCTCTCTCTATATCTCTTTCTTCTTGTGTATGCTCTTATGTTTGGCTGTCGCGATCTACCTGGAACTGTTTCTTTTGGTGTTGTTCACCCCCTCGCGTCTTCTTTGCTCAAATTTGTTTGCGTATGCATGGTTTTGATGTTGTTGTTGCTGTATTGTTTGAGTCAAACTTGTCGTCGACAGCGGCCAGGGGAACGCATGTGCACTGGTCGTGGGCGATTGACGCATCATGAGCTTCTGCTCGGGGCTCGCGGAGTTCTTCACTACGAAGGGGCTCGGAAACGTCGAGAACGACGCGAGCTCGCACCTTCTCTGCGTCTCCGACGCGGCCGACGGCGTCGGCGACGAGTGCGACCACTTGTGCGGCGATAGACCTGCCTTCTGCGCTCCGAAGAATAGCAAGAAGCGCGTGTGCGCTCGTCCACAGAAGCTTTGCAAAACTACACTTTCAGCTCTTTGGGGGGAAACCCCGTACGTTTGCCACGGCAACACCAAGCGCCATCGCAAGTACCGAGCGCAGTGGACGTAGGACATGAACAAGATCGCGAGCATGGGCGAAAAGGCTGTGATTACCCAGTTGACAGTGGATGGCTTTCTGAAGGACTGGACTCAGCTCAAGTGCCTTCGCCGTTCGGCGGGATGCGCGTCGCCGCTTCAGAGGCGGGGCGGGAGCTCGCGGGCTTGCGGACGCAGGGCAGCGCGGTGCCACAAGTAAATACTGCCACGCGCCAGGCATCCGATATGTTCAGCTGGTTGGGGTCAGGACTTCAAGCCGCTTCGCAGCCAGGTGAAGATCTGGTTCGGCCTCGTGCTGGGGTCGAAAATTTGGCAGAACCACCTCTCTGTGGAGATAGTGGCCGCCTCGTCAGCTCCATGTCCACGGAGCTGGACGCGCGCAGAGCGCGGTTCGTCACCCCCCACGAACAGCACATTCGCTTCGGGGGCTCGCGTCGAAATCGCAGTGGCACGACGTGGAGGCCGACGAGGTCGACTTGGGTAAGGAGACGATCCTGGTTAAGAACATGAAGAAGTTGGAGTGGTAACAGTGGCCGGGGATCGTGGAGCGGGGTCGCCCAAACACAGTGGCCCTTTTGCCGCGCCAAGCCTAAATTCACAATGACCAGAACGCCAGGCCCTGGTCCAATCAGAAAACGGATTGGACGCAGATGGCGAAGAGGTGGCTAGAAGACCGGCGTGTGCTTTCGCACACCGATGGCGCTCGGTCGTGCAAGCTTGGAGCCACTAGGAAGAGGTACCTGCATGAAGATATCCACGACTATGTGGTCCACGCGCCTACGAAGCTCCATAATGGGCAGACCATGCGCCCAAAGTATGTGGAACTATTTTCGCACGCGATCGATGGCCAAGTTGTCCACGCGCAAGGCGGTACGGAAATAATTGACCGCATCTGGAGACACTTCCGAGAGCACGCTGGTTCGCGGTCAGCAGCTGGGTCACCAGGTCGAGTTGGCGGCTAAGTTGCCGCAGTCGTCGCCCCGTCGCCGCTACGTCGCCCCCCGTCGTCTGGACCTGACAGTCGGGTTGGCGGTTATGTTGCCGCCGTCGCCACCCTGTCGCCGTTTCGTCGCCCGTCGCCTGGGCCTGACGGTCGATTTGGCGGCAAACTTGTCGCAGTCGGCACGCCGTGGCCGCCTCGTCGTCGCAAATGTTACACAACATAGGCGGCAACGCAGAGATTGCACAACATGTATTTCACAGCATACGTTGCACAAAGCGTATTGCACAACATATATTGGAGCGCATCGATTGCACTACAGACGTTGCACAACATATAATGCACAGCATAGATGAAACAGCATGGAATGCACCGCATATATTGCAGAACGTAGAGTGCAAACTCAACATAGCCGTAAATAAATATGCCGCACAAGATGTTGCAACACATGGGTCGCGCTGCACAGATCGCACCACAGAGATTTCACCACATGTGTGTATCAACATATGTGTGTATATACATATACGTATATCTATACACACATATATATAAACAATAATAATAAACGCCACCGTGCCTCGAGGCACAAAGTGGTTATACCCCAAGACTCACTCTCGGCCCTGAACCCTGGGTTCTAATGAGGGGCCCCACCGCGGGCTCCACTGAACAGAGACGCGCTCTGCCACTCTGCCCCACAGCATGCGCCCTCGCTGCCCCCTCCCATCATCAGCAGAGGGCTGCTCGGCGAATTGGCCTCGATGCAGGGTCCCCCATCCTGCTAGGGCTCTGATCAGCAGAGCGCTTGGGAGCGCCTGGGAGCGCTTGGGAGCGCCTGGGAGCGCTTGGGAGCGCCTGGGAGCGCCTGGGAACGCCTGGGAGCGCTTGGGAACGCCTGGGAGCGCCTGGGAGCCCCAGGGAGCGCCAGGGAGCGCCAGGGAGCGCCTGGGAGCGCCTGGGAGCGTTGGGGGCGTTCTGCTGACTGGCCTCACAGCATGTGCGCGTTCACCGCTCCTCCTCTCATTCGCAGAGCGCCGCCGCCCGTGCCGCGAGGCGCGGGTTGGAGATCTCTCCAGGTGCTCATGTGTCCTCTGTTCTCTGTACCCGGGACTCTGGGATTGTAGTATTCCAGGACCTGGGGCCAGAAACAAATCCAAGTTTCCCTGGGCGTTCCCGCGCGCTCCTGGGCAGCCCCGCATGACTTTCCCAGAGGCCTGGGGGCCCCAAGACGGGCCAAGAGGGCCCCAGAAAGCGGCCGCTCCAAGACGCTCAAGATGGCCCCAAGACGGCCCCGGGAGCCCCCCCGCGCGCGCTCGAGCCAGAGCTCGAGCGAGCCCGGCCGCACGCGCCGATGGTGCGCGTCCTTGACCAGGGCGGCCTGCCGCCCAGCCTCGGCGGTCTCCTCGCGCACCACGCGCGCGCGCGGGCAGGAGGACAGGCGGAGGAGGGGGGGCCAGGAGGAAGGATACGGCAGGTTCGTGTCGTGACGACTCCGTCGTTGGTTTCTGACACCGTAGGGGATCGTTCGACCTTGGACGATCGCCCGCGTCCGTTCCGAAGCGCAGGATCGTTCAACATCGACCGGTTCTGGGTCGCTGGCGGCGTTCAACGTGGAACGCCGGCGGCGGGATCGCCACCCGTGGACACGACGCAAACCTACCGTACGTGTTCGACCACGGACCCCTTGGACCCCTTGCTACACATCTGCCTCGAGCAGTCTTCGGCGGAATGCAGTGGTCTTCCAGCGGTCTTCGGCGGTTTCCCGCGGTCTTCGGCGGATTTCCGCGGTCTTCGGCGGTTTTCCGCGGCCTTCGGCGGTTTCCGCGGTCTTCGGAGTCCATGATCGAACACCTACGGAAGGAGGCGCTAAAACCCATGCCGAGATGTCGGCGAGACCGACAACACTCGAAGAAAAGACTCTACATCATCGACGCTGAACCTGGGCGCTCGAGCAGGCGGTCCAGCGGATCGCTCAGCGGCCTGGCCCGCGACGCGCTGTATGCGTGGCGCTACGGAGGAGCAGGAGGTGGAGGAGGAGGAGGAGGAGGAGGAGGAGGAGAAACTAGAAGTGGTGGCGCAGGAGGAGGAGGAGAAGGATGAGGAGGAGGATAGGGAACGGGGGGCAGGAGGAAGGAGGAGTGGAGGCGGAGAGGGGGATGGTAGAAGGAATGAGGAAGGAGGAGCAGGAGGAGCTTGGGGTGGGGGAGGAGGAGAAGGAGCAAGAGGGTCAAGACGTGGAGGTGGGAATTGTTTTTACGGAAAAAGGAACATCATGTATGTGGCGGAGAAGGGTAGGAGAAGAGACGGATACTGAAAGAAGGGGGTGTTCAAAAGGGGGTACAGAGGAGTGACACCCGCACGTTTCACGGGCGCTTGCCCTGAAAACGAAGCAGAACCCTGGCCTAACAGGTATAACAGAACCGTCACTCCGAACATCCCTCCCCCCCGCTTCCCTCCCCCGCCCAATGAGGGAGGGGTATGACCCGCATGGCGGGCTACTTAATCGCAACCCGCTGGTACCAAAGCCCCTCGGCTGGGGCTGGGCCAATTCTCGACTGACCCGAAAGCCGACTAGGTGAATTACCACCCGCCATCTGAAGCCGTAGTGCTTAGTGGTCGACGCAGTCTCCTCCTGCCGCGCCCGAGGCTGCTCTCTGGTTGCCCCCCCCCCCCCCGGGGGCCGCTCGTCGGCAGTCCGCAGCTGCGCCTCTCCGAAGCCTCCAAGCCGGCGGCAGCGACGGCGGCGACGCGACAGCGGCAACGGCAGAGGCGACGCCGGCGGCGGCGGCGGCGGCGGCAACACGTGAGGCCGCTCGGTCGGCGCGGGCGCGCCGCGGCGGCGGCCGCGCCCACAGCACCTCGAGAGGCCCCCCGCGGGGGCTCCAGAGGGCCCGCGGCGCAGCGCCTCCACTGAAACTCTGAGGTCCGACGCCGGGAAAACTCGCGACCCCGTCGAGAAGCACTCGACTGGAGCCCGGGGACCCCAGCCCAGCCGGGGTTCGAGCAGAGGGGGGTCGGAGGGTCGCGCGGCATCGACGAGGCATCGCCCATGCATCTCGGCGATGCATCGGCGACGTCGGCGTGTAGGAAATCAGGCTACACATCGAGCCGCATCGCCGATGCATCGGCAATGCAGCGCGATCCTCGGACCCCATCTGCTCGGACCCCTTTTGGGAGCCCTAGAACTTTCCGAGCCTGATCGGCGCGTGAGAGTCACAGGACCTGAAGGACAAGGTCAAGCCTG